TCGACTTTAACAGAAAAAGAAAGCCAGCAGTCTCTTCGTCGCATCGATTTGGTCGATTGAAGCTGATATTGTAACGCCCTGATTCTAATTTCCTCTTTTCGGCTTTACTCTGAAATAATATTCCTGGCAGTCTCGTGTGGTTGACGGGTTGAACCACAGCTGTGTTAACTGAACTATATTATTTCTGGTCCCTCTGCTGTGTTGGGTATTTCAAACCATATGTAGTAACCTCAGTTTGTTGTTATGTAACTTTCTTTTCCTTATTCCACGCAGTCCTCCAATACTTTTACTTTAATTATGGAAATACAAATGTAAAATCTTGGGTCAATTTCAAATGCAGGGAATAACATTGCAACGACTCTGTTTCCGGCTGTAGGGACGCTGAATGCTCGGTTTTACAAATTCTGACTCCTCCTAACGAATAACCTTTAAGGGAGTTGGTGTCTTAACCCTAATCTTATGACTGATTGGTGTTAGATTTAATTTTCGACAATTCTTATGAAAAGTTATGTCTTTCCTTAATCCTACGATGGATTTCTTCAGTGATAAGTTCCTATTTGGTTCTGGAAGCCATGATTAATATGTTAATGTTATCGGAGCTCGACTATTTGTGGTAACTGCTAGCTCACTCACAGAAACTAACAACATTAGCTAGTAGGGGAAAGATTCATCTACCTGTTGATGGTGTTTGTTTGCATGGGTGAGTTAGCAGTTAAGAAAAACCGTGCCTCCGTACAAGCTACGATAAACAGAAATACTATTGACAAGTAGGAAGATATTTCAAATTTATGAAATATTGTAATTTTAGGCACAAATTGTATAATTATTTTTGGGAGTATTAATCAAAGTTTATTTATGGATGCACTTCGTAAAATACTTTTGACGCAAAGTAGAAAATAACTGGAAAAAACTACAAGGGACATGGGGTTGTACGCAATGCTGACTGTGCACTTTGGAGTCTGAATATCAGGAATCACCCAGCGCACGCAGTGATATCAATATAGCTCTTACCTCTATCACAGCTAGCACACGAAAGCGGCAATGCTTGAGCTTGATGCTGCACGACTGTAGAGTGCGATCGTAACGCCTCAAGGATAAGTGTGCAAGGTAGAGTCATAGAGGTAACTCTAAGACAAGTAGGTCCTGAAGAAACGTGCTCAACTTTTTGGCTCACCTCTGGTACTATCTTCGGTCCCAAGCTTGTCGAATCACCCCTCGAAACATAGGAAAAACCAATAACCCCTTATTTTATCTGTCAAACTTTCATAGCGAATCAAAACAAACATTGCGTAGTACTAGAATTTCGACTAGAATAGGGTACGTTAATCGTTTGCTTGGGACCAATTGGCTACTAAAGTGGTGAGCCAATTTAAAAACGTTAGTTTCGTATTGATTGTTGGTATGACTATGATTGCACTGAAAAGAACCTTTTGACATTAATTTTAGTTGAGACATGTTCAGAAATTTTACTCTTTGGTAAAATTTTGGTCCTGAAAAAGGCCGATGGTAGTACAGGCTTAAAGCTTTTGCAAGATGATGATGACGTGTAGGCAGCTGGATAAGCAAATCGGACCGGACAATCCCATATTCTTCGGTTGAATGATTGGGCACTCGCAACTCTTGGCCCGTCTGCTGCTGGAAAGGGGTTGAACTGGTGTCTGCGATAGGTTTAAACTCCGCAGAATATCAGTGTCCACCCAACTAAAGCTCCTTCCCTTTTTAGTTTTTCTCGTTTAACTCCTTCTCAACAAGTTGGTAAATCTTAGCCTTTAGCAGAAAGACGCTTAACACTTTTTTCGGCGAATTTATGATCCTGTTTCACGTCATGGTTCTTGTCTGTACCTATTGCGCTTAATCAAACGAGTAAAAATAAGAAGGGATGTCGGTTACGCGCTCGAATAATTGAAAATTTAATAAATATTGAATCGAATCGCTGGAAAAATCTTTACGATTAATCTTTAATCGAATAATTGGACTTTTAGGCATCCCTAGAAAATAGTGTTATTTAATGTTTTTGGTGGCCCTTTGAAAATGTCGAACAGAAGAATTGCAACCAGCAAGTGTAACCTAAGAAGCAAAAGCGGTGCGATGCTAGTTTTCATTGCTATTGACAAAGACTGAATTATGGGCTCACTTCATCGATTTCCTTTTTTAATAACACTTGCTTCACTAACCTATTTCGCACTATTTCTGCTATGCTCTTCTATCATCCAGAACAACAAACGTATCAATGAATGTGTTTTCCGTCGCGTTATTAACGAAACAGAAAGTCGATGAAGAGAATCGATCAAAATCACTTGCACCCCTGCTTCCAAGTTTGGTTACAAGATTACAACTCTGGAGAGCATTTTGCATGGTCGTTGAAGGTGTGTGGTTCTGAATATGGCAATGAGTGTGCAAAATGTTACGCAATTGCATCCTCCCTATTCGCACACGCCCGAAGATCGGAGGCAAATGCCACTTCAATTTGTTTCGTCTACTAACGACTCTCTGATGACTGTGTTGGGGCAGCAGCATATGCATGTACGTAATTGGTGGATTTGTTAAATATTTCGAAGCTTTTGGACAATGCTTGACATTTACCACTTTTCAAATAGTTTCTTGTTGAAAATCAACAGTCGGAAGCATTGCTATCGATGCGTAGAAACATTTCGGATCGATTGGTGATAAAATTATTGAAAGTGGCAAAGGGCATCTGAGTTATTAACGTTCAAAATCTTTCATACTTTCGTTTTGTTCCATTTTCGGTTTTCACAAAGTGTACCCCCATATAGAAATCACAGACCTACTTCTACGTCTGAATTATCCAGTTAACATTTACTGGTCACTCGTAGGGACACCTATGGCCGTACCATATTAACCTTGCCACAGTTCAGCAGTAACCGTTAGTATACATTTTCATAGTTATTTCATTTAAGTTTAACCAATTTCCATTCGCTGGGATAGACTCCGTATTGTAGCCAGTTCCAAGAGGCTACAATGACCAAATGGCACCCAACACGCTGGAAAGGCAAAATGAAGCTTGTATCTTGCCATTCTTGCAGATAGATTGACATTCTTAGTAAAAATTATCATTTTATAGCAATATCAATCTTCGGTCCGGGGGGTGAGATTACAGGTTTTTTTTTAAACCTACTTCAGGTTAATTAAATGAATATTTTTAAGGGCGACTCGGATCTTCCGGGGGACCAGTATGAGGCCATGAGAGGTTTAAATACAGATTGCACTTCATAAAAAACTTTTTGAGCCATTTGAAGAAAAAAAACAAATGTAAAACTGTAAATCGAGTTTATCAAATTAATCACGTCTACGGATATTCTGAATCTTCCGGAGAACTGGCATGTGACCATGGAAGCCCAAATGCTGATGATACTGCTTAAGCAACTTTTCAAGCACACTAGAAACCGTTTTGAAAAAAATCGTAGATCTTAAAATGAGTTTACCAAATCGATCACATTTACGGATATTCCGGATCTTTCGGGGGATCGAAATGTGGCCATGCAAGATCCAAATGATGATTTCACTTCGTAAATATCTTTTAAGAGCACAGCAAGTAAATTTCTGGAAAACATCACGAAGCTATAAAATGAGTTTCATGAAATAGTACGGATGTTCTGGACGAGTTTTCGGATCATCCGGAGGACAACTGTCAAGCAAAATTAGAACCTTTTTGAAAAAAATCGTAGAACTGTAAAACGAGTTCATCAAATTGATTAGTTTTACATACATATGTTCCGTATCTTCCGGAGGATCAGTATGTAGCTATGGGAGGTCCATATGTTGGTAGCACATTGTAAATTACTTTTGAAACACAGTAGTAAACTATTGATAAAAATCACGGAGCTTTAGAACAAGTTTCATGAATTGACTGCCTTTACTGATGTTCAGGATCTTCCGCAGGACCTATGGCCCCCATATGGTCAAATAAAGTTCAGCAGTATCCTATTGGTCTAGGCATAGTTCAACGGCAAACTTTGGTGTCCACTTTTAGAGTAATTTCATCTCAGATTAATCGATTTCCATTCACCCGGATTGACTTCGGATTGTAGCCAATCAGGAACAATTACTAAGAATCACAAATTACTCCTTCACACAAGCTTAAAGACAAATGCCCACATTCAAAATTATGCATTCCACTATCGCGCTTGTTAAAATCACTATTCCACAAGAGTTCTCGATGATATTTTATATTCAAATGGTCCAACAAATATCTTCTTTTAAACATAAAAAAGACATCAATCTCAAAACTTGCTTAAATCAAGCTATTCCGCAAATGTCAAAACTGGATCGAACTTCTTCCAACCACTTAATATCTATGAGCAAACGCCTAACTAACTGTCTTCTTCGTTGTTCCAAATAAAACCGTGTGAAGACGAACCCAGCCATAGAAACCGGGTGTCCTTGGATTCTTTCCTTGTTGTTGTTTGGCTGCATAAATTTGCCTAAGTGTTACCGACTACAAAAGAATCACTTTCCTTCATACCTGAAACTATCCGATAGGAAAATTTTGAAATACCCGTTTCTGTGTTTCTAATATTGAAGCGGAGTTTAACGTTCATAGTGGTGCATGGTGCAATCGCGCATTCAAGAGCCGACGGTAGTGGAAAAATTAAGTTGCATCTTCGTTTTCAAGTTCCACAGAATCTTTGTCCTTGGACGCGGAACTGACTACCAATTCCGAAATGTATGCAAATGATTCGCGAAAAGTCAGGTTTTATTTTTTCTTTGCCATCTGTAGCAACCGAAAGTTGTCTTCTTGGAACGTTATTAATGTATAGACGAGATTTCCGCCCGTTCGTCCGACTTTGGGATGCCTAAAGATCAGGGATACTTCTTGCTATTTTGAACGAAATTTTAGCATGGCTTATAAATAAGTGAAACACGTTAAAATGAACTCTCAGTCGCCGTTCCGATTTCGCGAAGTGTGCCAAATATTATTGAAGTTATTAAGCAGAAGAACAAACGAGTGCAATAAGACATTGTAAGATTATGAAGTGAGAATGTTAAGAATGGTAAATCGTATGAAAAGTTAATGCGAAGTAAGTGACTAATTGAAAATTTACTCAACAGTTGAAAATATCGTGGTTGGTGCTATCGTTGACGGCTATAGTTCGTGCTACCAGCGTACTGGGGCCAGATGGATATGAAGATGAAAAGCCGAGTGAACCTTCAAACATAGGAGAACCCATGTGTATAGCTGGAGGTGAGTGGCCAAATTGTGCATCACCGACAACTCCAGCGCCAATAGCTTTAACTACAAAGCCAATCTGTTCCAACGGTGGAACGGGTCCTAATTGTGAACTTCCAACACAACCTCCCCCTCCACCTCCTCCTCAAATCAGCTGCGCAAATGGAGCTACGGCTCCATTCTGCTGTGATAATGGCGGAATAGGACCAGAATGTGAGATGCCTGGACCACTAAGGCCACCATCAATAAGCTGTGCCAACGGTGGTATACCACCGTTTTGCTGTGAAAATGGTAGGGTAGGACCAGAGTGTGAGATTGTCATTCCAATTGGATGTGAGAATGGAGGTGTACCACCGTACTGTTGCACCAACGGTGGCTTTGGACCGAATTGTGATATCAAAAGACCTACTGCACCTTCCCCACCTCCAGCGTATACCCCTCAACCTCAACCTCCGCAAGCATGTTCCAACGGCGGAGTTCCACCATTTTGTGTAGTTCAACGCCCTCCATTCTGTATCAACGGGGGATTTCCACCGTACTGCTGCACCAACGGTGGTAGTGGACCAGGTTGCGTCATTCAAAGCCCTCCACCAGCTCCCGCATGTCCATATGGTGGAGTTCCACCGTATTGCTGCACTAATGGAGGTCAAGGACCTCACTGTCTTGTTGTGCAACCGGCCATCGAATTTGGTCCAGCTGTTGAAATCGTGTATCATCCACCTAGTTATGCAACAAATTCCATAGACAGTAGCTTATTCTATCCAGCTCCAGATCCGTGTCCTTACGGAGGTCTTCCACCGTTTTGCTGTGCAAACGGCGGAGTTGGTCCGTACTGTCAAGTTCCAGTGCAACAAAGTGGATGTTCTAATGGAGGACAACTTCCGTATTGCTGTACCAACGGTGGAAACGGTCCAGATTGTATCATTCTTCAATCCCAGGAACCATCTTATGGATGTTCAAATGGAGGACAACTTCCGTATTGTTGTACCAATGGTGGAAACGGTCCAGATTGTATTATACCACAATCCCAGGTACCGTCATCCGGATGTTCTAATGGAGGGCAACTTCCATACTGCTGTACCAATGGAGGAGATGGTCCAGATTGTGCCATCCCTCAGTCCCAAATACCCTCCTGTTCTAACGGGGGCGAGCAACCACACTGCTGCACCAATGGAGGTCTAGGACCGAACTGTGAAGTTCCAACCACACCGAAACCTACCATCACAACACGCAGAACCACAACAACAACCAGGCGAACAACTACTCGTCCACAGACTACGACAACTCGTCGAGCAACAACAACAACACGACGAACTACTACCACTACCAGAAGGCCTACGACAACTACGCGTAGAACGACGACCACTACACGCCGACCAACGACCACCACGCGTAGAACAACCACTACAACTCGCCGTCCCACTACCACCACTCGTAGAACAACAACCACCACGCGAAGACCCACGACTACAACTAGGCGTCCGACTACAACCACTCGTCGTCCCTCGGTATGCCCCTTCGGAGGAAGTCCACCGTTCTGTTGCACCAACGGAGGTCTCGGTCCTACATGCTACGTACCGACTGTCAAACCACCAACCACTACAAGCCGTCGAACCACAACAACCACACGTAGAACTACCCCCACCACCAGAAGAACCACAACAACCACTAGAAGACCTTTCGTAACATCAACCACCTACAAGCCAACCTGTCCAACCGGAGGAGTTCCACCATATTGCTGCACCAACGGAGGTCAAGATCCGAACTGCGTCGTACCTACCCGGCCTCCCAAGCCAACCTGTCCAGCCGGAGGAGTTCCACCGTATTGCTGCACCAACGGAGGTCAGGGTCCTAACTGCGTCGTACCCACCCGGCCTCCCAAGCCAACCTGTCCAGCCGGGGGAAATCCTCCAGACTGCTGCACCAACGGGGGTCAGGGCCCTAACTGCGTCGTACCCACCCGACCTACCCCGCCTCCGGTAACTCGACCACCACCATCAACAACATCCGAACTAAGCTATCTACCACCGGACAGCAGCAACCCAGTACCCAGCGGTTACAAGTACGACGTTGGTGATCCTCCATTTGCTATCTAAAAAAAACGTCACTTCCAATTCGATTTAGCTAATTAAATAAATAAATTATTAGTGAAGCTAGGACCGGTTTTGTTCGTTGAAGAACAAGACCGATCCTTTCGATATGCTTATCCTTTTGTAAATCGACGCACTACATTGAACTCCATCCGAACTCCACTCGTCCGGGATTGATCGGACCACACAAACTGCGGAATTTTCCATGTCACAACCCCGACACATTGCATCGCATTCTTCTCACGTATCAGCATCCATCAAAATCCATCTCCGCAGTCAGTCTGTTAGTTAAGTTAGGAAGCGCAATCGTCAAGCCACATAATTAGCTTCAATTAATGCCTCGCAGCGATCGACATGCTCGGCTTTTCGGTGCGTGCAGATCAATGGTCAATGAGCATCTTCGTCCATTCAATGAACCAGCTGCAACCTGCTGTAAGCTATTGGCAGTCATCGCCGTCTGTCGGAAGGTAGGTTCTCTCATTCTGCATAAGCATCGTCACGTCCGAACTAGCCTCAAGGGGGTTGTTTTGAGAGAATGAGCTTCTCACGCCATCACAGGAGAGCCATATGGTCAATTGCTCTTTGGTTCTCGAACAGTGTGAGCTTTTACTAGCGTGGTCACTGGCGTTGCTAGAGTTGGTGGAGAAGGGGCAGTTGTTTAGAACTTAGTAGTAAAATGTCATTTTATAATTTATTTAGTTTATAATTTTATTTGTATAATGTACTTCAAATTCTAGAATAATTTTTCAACAGGTCCTAGCCCCATTTGTCGATGAAAAATCGATAATTTGATTCGCTTTCTACTACCGTGGTATTTTCACGCACAATATATAATTTAATCTTTGAACTTTTGATTGCATGCATCAATATTGAGCATTTCAAGCCCAAATAGCAAAAAATAATAATTTCAGGCTCGACCTTACCCGATTTGTATGAAGCTTTGCGAAATTGTTTGTTATGGTCAATAAATAACTTTTGAGCTAAATTTCGGTCATTTTGAATCTTATAAACAAATCAAAACGGTGTGTTTGATAGGTTTTTATCCAATCATGTCTTTAAAACACTACTGTCCATCAAATAGACATCTGAGAAAAAGTTGTAGGAAAAATTATAATTATTTAGGAAAAATACACACGGTAAAATAATTCAAGTTATTATTGGTGATAGTCCAAAAAAGTGTTTAAAATTTAAAAAGCAAAAAATTGCCCTAATTAATAATTTTGATAATTTAAAAAAAAAGCTTATGAAAAATGCTGACTTCTGTGGATTATTCTTTAGACACCTAAAAATTATCAACAATCATAGTTCAACCACTTTAAGTCCAATTTCTGGTTGGTTTGGTTTGGTTGTCTTTGGAGCTTCTTGTTTACTCACTTTTTTGATGAATCTTGCTCAGAAAACTGTTTGTTTAGACTCATACAGTGGTGGACAAAAAAACCAACCGGTACACACATGTACTGGTACGGTCAAAATCGCAACACGTGTGAACGAATGGTGCACACCGGCTAGAGTTTTCTTTTTGTTTACACGGTAAACGAAACTGAAACCAAAACCGGGTCTCGGTTTCGAAAATACAACCGAATCCATCAGCACCGCTTACACGTTTAAACGAGTTTGGGCCCACAATATAGGTATTTTTGGAATCGTGGTGACATGTAGGAACCGGAAATCGATGTCTGACGCCATTTAAAAATCCAAGATGGCGGCTTCTGGTTAGACAAAAACTGAAAAATACTGTCAAATACCGCACAATATGGGTATTCTTCGAGGTATTCTTGGAATCGCGATGACATGCAGGACCGGAAATCGACGTTTGACGCCAATTCAAAATTCAAAATGGCGGCATTCGGTAAGATAAAAACTGAGAAATATTGTCAAATACCCCACAAGATAGGTATTTTTGGAATCAGGATGAGATGTAGGAACCGGAAATCGATGTTTGCGCCGCTTTGAAATCCAAGATGCCGGATTCCGTCTGGAAAAAACTGGTAAATACTTAGTTGAAGATGATAATTTCAAATAACAGACTGTAGTGGTAATTTTTATACGATAGATGGAGTAGATGAAAGTGTAGAGTTGATAGTTCCGTTAGAGTACGGCAGTGTGAAAATTGCATATAGATAGTAAAATAGCGAGCTAGGACATCTTTTAAGATGTACAAATCGGTTTTTTCATCTCTCTTTACCAAACTCCTGTCAAATACCCCACAATATGAATATTTTTGGAATAGGGATGACGTGTAGGGACCGAAAATCGATGTCTGACGCCATTTTAAATCCAATATGGTGGCTTCCGGTTAGATAAAAACTGGAATATACTGTCAAATACCCCACAATATGTTTATTTTTGGAATCGGGATGACGGATAGGGATCGGACATTGATGTCTGACGCCATTTAGAAATTCAAGATGGTGGCTTCTGCTGAGGGAAAAACTGGGAAATACTGTCAAATACCACACAATCTGGGTATTTTTAGAATCGGGATGACGTGTACGGACCGGAAATCGATGTCTGAAACCATTTTGAAATCATATATGGTGGCTTCCGGTTCAAGAAAAACTGGGAAATACTCTCAAATACCTCACAATATGGGTATTTTTGGTATCGTGGTGACATATAGGAACCGGAAATCGATGTCTGACGCCATTTTGAAATCCAATATGACGACTTCCGGTTAGAGAAAAACTGGAAAATATTGTAGAGCCCCAGCACAAACCACTACGTCTTCTGAGATACATCAAAGTGAGCTGTTGTCCCGCCTACTGATGGAGTTTTCAGTGCCAGCTGACTGACTTGAATACGAAACACACCACCTTGATGAATTTTAAATTGGTGTTTGCCCGCATGGTTTTCCAACACACTTGTGGCGCAGTGGTTAATAATCGTAGATCGCATGTTGAATACACGGGTCCGAATCCAGGAAATTACTCTTTAATTTTTTTTTAAGTTTGGATAGAATGTTGATGCACTGCATACATATAAGAATTATGATTTATTTGAGCCACTGATCATTTCATATTTACGTACATTAAATGTTGTGACTAATAAAGACTTGTGCGGATTGCTTCATGTGGTTTAAAAGTTCTGTCGGAACTTTATTTGAACTTTATGGAACTTGAAGGTTCGGTCGGAGCTTTATTTGAACTTTATGGAACTTGGAAATGATTTTATTTGGTTGAATGTGGAACTTTTCGTTACTTGGGAAGTAGCCACAAAGCCGGCCATTCTTTGAGCAATTGAAAGTAAAAAAAAATGCAATAAAGTGGTGAAGAAACCAGACCACCCCCACGTGACCCTTAACCGAAATACTTACATTGAAACTTGTCACTTTTCAGAATTTGAAATGGCGATTTTGTGAAACCATGGGACTGCTATCGAGTAGGTGTGAAAAGAGGCATAGAAATGGATAACCATGCAACCTGGGTTATTTCTAGTGACTAAAAAAATGACTCGGGATCAAAACCAGACCACACCCAAACGACCCTTGACTGAATCGCTTATGTACTTTAAATATTTTTAGATTTTGTCAATAAGCAGCAATACAATCAATGCAGAACCCACCGCACAAGAAAGTTTTCCAGAGAAGCCACGAATACAGATCTTCTTCACCGTCTTCTGGAATCCGCCGAGCCGTTAATTTCCAAAATTAGGGAACTACCGAAAAACAAAAGTGAGGTGTGCTCCGGGGATGCTCTGCAACTTTTGGCCATCACAGATGACAGCGGCGAGAACAGTGATATCGACGAAGAGGATACTGCAAACGCTCTTTGAGATTCGTACAATTCGAATAGGAACGTATTTAACATTAAACATGAATGATTTTGGTATTGTTTTTGACAAAATCGAAAAATATTTAAAGTACATAAGCGATTCAGACAAGGGTAGTTTGGGGGTGGTCTGGTTTTGATCCCGAGTTATTTTGTTAGTCACTAGAAATAACCTAGGTCGGTAATACGCGTTATGTCCAATCACTGCTCGTAAGACTCGCACTTCTATCGAACTGGGCTCTCAGGCAGCAATTTATGTGCGTATGACAGGGGTTATCACGATATCGAGCATGTTGTTTGGTCATGTACCTTACACCGTGTTGCCAGATCTGAGTTATCCAGGCCAGAGGAAAACAACCCGCGATACCCATTAGAGATGTCTTGGCGAGGCGAGATCTCGACTATTTGAATTTAATTTATGTGTTTTTACAACGGATAGATCTGAGGATTTAGTAGTTAGTGTCATTTTGTGTTCTCCCAAGTTGTTAGCTGCCCATCGGTGTACCCCCATGTTTGTCTTTTTCATCAGAGTTCGAGATCAAGAGCACATTGCTCTCCAAACCTTGTGTTCACAATCCCTACCCTGCCATCCATTTGTTACAATGTGTCACCCCTAACCTCGATATAGCCGCGAGTAATAGGTCCCCGCTCTACTAACGTTAGTTTTAAGTATTTTTTTAATCTTATCAATGAATATTAGCTCCGCAAAGCTACAGTAAATGAGCCTGGAAAAAATAAACGCATTATAAAAGAAAAAAAACTAGGTTGCATTTGTATGCCTCTTTTCACATCGATAGCAGTCCTGTGGTTTCACAAAATCGCCATTTCAAATTCTGAAAAGTGACAAGTTTCAATGCAAGTATTTCGGTTAAGAGTCACGTGGGGGCGGTCTGGTTTCTTTACCATTTTACTGCATTTTCTTGTAATTTCAATTTCTCAAAGAATGGCCTGCTCGTATTTGCCCGTTTAGAAGTTATTGGTATTGGAAGTTAGGTAATTTCATCCAAAAAAATGTAAATAACTTTTCAAATATTAATGCTAGCAATTTGCAGTCTGCTCAAAAGATATGTAGTTTGATATTTCTAACATCTTTGTACAACATGCCAAACATGCAGAAATATTGTAGAAAAAGTTACAGATACAAGACTGATTTTAACGATTAATAAGTTGTTCACAGTAATGTTCTGTACAGCTTTTCCTTGCACAATTATTTTGTATATCATCATATTAAACAAAAAAAATGCGTCTCACTTTAAGGTGGACTAATCTTTAATTTTCTTTTACCATAAGAAGGAGTGTTGTAACCCGAGAAACTTCTCAGAAAACACCTAGTACCTTTAATCAACCATTTCGTGTGTTTTGTTACCCTTGGCACCACTGTGCAGCGCCGTCATCAATGCGTGATTAATTTCAAGCGAATATCCCTAGTCAGCCGCAAATACTTACCCCTCCCTACTAATGTCACTGGTGCTCCATCACGCGAGAACCGGCCACGCCAAGAAGGGTTGCTGAACAGAACAACTCTCACTCGTACGCACTCTCTCAAAACCCCACTCTCTCTCTCTCACGCTTGCTCACTACAGTAGAAAAAAACGCGAGCTTTTGGGTGGAGACGCCACCACCCGGTTTGCAGCCTACCCCGAGAGGAAGATGATGCTAAAGGGATGCACTCACCCTCTCGATCGCGGGGGATGGATGGATGGATGGCTTGCACGGATCCCCACCAAGATCATATAAATATACCGTCCCGTTGGGCGCAGGCTACGAGTCTGTCGGCGACCGTCGATCGAGTTGAAGTTTTGACCTGAAAAAAGTTGTATTTTTTCAGCAGATATTCGCGAACGTGTGGGGTGTGTGTGTCTTTTATGTTTTGTGCGTGTGTCGAACGTGCAATTTTTCAAGTGACCCGGAAAGACGAAAATAAGGACTCTTAAACCGTGTGCTGGTGCAGTGGAGAGTGGCAAGGCGCGGATAGTGATTTATTACTCGGCGAGATCTGAAGCGGAGACAGCTGTTGAAGATGGTGAGATAATAACGATAGGTCTTATGCTGAGCTGCATTCGGCAACAAGTTCGATGGATTAAGGAGTGGAATTGATGGTGGCATAATTTTTTGGACATTTTCGTCGATGCCCGTGGCTGGCGAGTGCTGTTAATTGTGTGTGGAGGACATTTTTGGGCAGTGCATGGATTACCCCGGTGACATTTAAGACGAAATGAGGTGGATTACAAAACTGCCATAGGGTCGGAAAACGGTCAGGTTCAACAACGAAAGGGTAGATAAACGCTCCCTCGCTCGGTGTGAAAGACTTGGATAATATGGTGTGCCATATGAGTGGTGTGGTTTGTGTGGATCTGAAAAATGAATGAAGCTGATTCGAAGATCGCTATCGGCACGTCTCGTCGTCGTCGTCGTCTTCTTTGGATCGTGATTGATGTGATGTGATGACTCTGGGCAGGATTCGTGCGCTGTGCGAAAATGTTTCGCAGTCTGATGTCATATGTGTCATGGTAACCGTTGTTGATTAGATCGATACGCAGTTGGTTTTGCGGTGTGTAGTAATGCTGAAAATTGCCATTTTTAGGGAGTCCTTCGCAATCTTTTAGATAGATGGATATAAGTGAAAATGTGTAGGAATAAGAATATAGTTTTCAGTTTTTTTATTCAATTTATTTGGCAAGGCTTAACTGTCTTATTAAAGTAATACAGAACCGAAAGTTTTAAAACGTTTCTAAAATGAATAAAGAATATAATTTTGAACCAGTCTTGAATAGTTTTCGGTTGAAATGAACTCAAATGGGAAGGGTCCTGGTGTAGTGGTTAGCATCCATGCTTCACACGCTAAAGGCAAGAGTTCAAATCGGACAAGTCACGAAAGACCTAATATGTGTTGTTAAAATTTCAAGCTTATTGCTAATCGCATATTAGCTTATTGCGTGCTCTCAACTATGTGGCAAGTACATTCATACTCTTTGCCTAGGGAAGTCGAAAAATTTTCCAACCCAAAAAATTCCTCAACCAGACTGGGAATCGAACCCAGCCACCTCCAGCATTGTCTTGCTTTGTAGCTGCGCCTTTACCAACTGAGCTAAACTGAGCGAAGTAAATCCATTGGTCCCAGATTCATGAGTTGATGGGTCGATAGGTAGGGTCTAGATATGGGAGCTGCCTCCCTGGCATCGGTAGTATTGGTATTCAGTTTGGAAAACAAGATCGATGGAAAACAAATCAAATTCTCAAATTGATCCTGAAGTATTCGGAACTTCCCTAAAGTTTCCACAATTCCAAAGTCCCTGAAATTTCCTTGAAGTAAATAAAACTGTCGCGAAGGTCTATGTTCTTCATCTTAGATTTCGAAATTTGCCTGAAGTTCACTTAACTGCCCTGTAGTTGTAGTTTTTTAAATATCTCTGAATGTTCTGGATATTCCATAAAGTTCTTGAAACATCCGTGGGGTTTTCGAAACTTCTCAAATACGATCCTAAAGGCCGACTAATAGAAAATTGGTACGCACAAAATGACCTGTAATTCGTGTTTCAATAAGTTTAAAAAGTATATTAATGGTTGCCTTACCGTACTTTTATTAAAACTTAAAAGTTACAGCATTAGATGGTTACATTTCTCCAGTTCGAACAAAATCTCGAACCTTCCTCTTGATGGAGTCCATCAGCGCCCGCACAGTGGAATCGGACACGGAATCAGCGCATTTCTTCCATTTTGCTCGCATTTGCTGGATGTCCTTGACTGTCCCGTCGCTTCGTCGAAGTCGCTGCTTTGAAATAGCTCAGTATTTTTCGAATGATCGAAATTCCGGGCAATTCGGAGGATTGATTACCTTGGGGACAAAATCGATCTTGTTTTTCAGCATACCACTCTAGAACCACCTTGGAGTAGTGGCAGCTGGCCAAATTGTACCAAAGGATGACTTTGCCTCTATGCTTGCGGATGAACGGCAATACACGCTTTTTCTGACATTCTTCGATGTAAACTTGGGATGTCATCGTCGAGGATGTGACGAATTGTTCCATTTTCAGGCCACAACTGCAAATCGCTTGCCAAACCATGGCCTTTTTCACGAGCTTGAATCTTCCCGGCACATCCCCACGTCCAGTCACGATGTAAAACTGTTGACCGGGAAGCTGCTTAAAATCGAGTTTGACGTATGTTTCGTCATCGACCAAAGTGCAGCCCTTGTGTTTCATCAAAACACGGTCGTACAAGAGCCTTGCATGCTTTTTGGCCACGGAATTCTGCTGCATGTGCCGGTTCGGATATTTACTGGCTTTGTACGACTTGTATCCTTCCCTGGCAAGGATGTTCCGCGCCGTTTGAAAGTTGGCGTTGTACTTTCTGGCCACATTTCGGATCGTTAGACCAAGGTTGACTTAAAAGCACCTCAACACCTAGGTCCGCTGATTCCTTTCCACACACAGGGTTTCCTTGTAGGTTTTGAGCACTCGAAAAACTGTTGTTTTCGGCATCTTCAGCACTTTAACCAGCTTAGAACCAGATCACTCCAGATTTTCCACACACTTAGATTTTTTTACCGAGATGGGCACCACCGAGCAGCTCGGCATTTTATTTTGCTGGAAATTCAGCAAAAAATATGTTTGTTAGCTGAGATCTCGGCAAAATTCCCGTTTACTAGCTGAATCTCGGCAAGCTTTTCACTGAGATCCAGCAAAATAAAATGCCGAGCTGCTCGGTGGTGCCCATCTCGGCGAAAAAATCTAAGTGTGCAGGTGTTTGAACACAATATTTTTCTTCTTTCGAGTTCCATTTGACGTTATTTCTGAACGCGATAGACTACTTTGATCAAACTTGCACCAGTTGTTCTTTATAGAAGTGTAAACAAACCACTATCACTAATTTACTTTTAGTCAGCCCTCTCATGCCTGTTTTTATGGACTACCCTTATTTTCAGAACTTCTATAAAATACCTGTAATTTTCCTGAAAAAATATAAACAGTCCTGAAGATCTACGTAAAAAAATCCGTGAAAAACCGACCAACTGTAAATGATACATTCACATGTTAAACATATTTTTAAATGAATGGATTAAGTTTTATTTTGTAGTTTCAACATGCTAGAGGTATAACACATTCTTTTTAATTCAGTAATTTTCGTTTTTACAAAGCGTCTGAATTTATAATAAAATCAAAAACCTCCTCCCGAACTGGAGAAAATAATTTATCAGTAACAAATTCAGATATGAAAATAGCATAATTGGCATCCTGAATATGACATTGACAATGATGAACCTGACATAAGAGGAAAAATACCATGTCAGAATACTATAATTTGTTATTTAAAAGATGTTTTATACCAATCCAATAACTCTTTTAAGCAACCTTCTAAGTGTTCTTGTAGAAGAACCAATGGGTAGTCACTCTACACACTTATTTAGCGCCAACACTTTTCTCAGTGTACCTCAAGTGTGCAACGCTTTGCCGAGAGTGCCATATCATCGGACTGATTTTTTCTGTGAATAATTGTATGTTTGGCAACCCGGTATTTTGACAATTCGAATGTTTTTTTTTATTATTATATACATATCAAACCGTACGATCTGTCGAAAACAATGGTCACGACAACGCCAGATCAAAAGAATGGGCAGCTCATCAAGAATACTACTACTGCGCAGCACTCAGATCGGCCCAGTTCCGTCTCCCGTATATCGCAGTGCGATGAATATTTGATCCACGGAGAGTACAGCAAACATTACACGCTGGTGAGGAACATTGGGAATGCACTCATTGAACATTCTGCACCGGGACATCAAAGTAGAGGACGTTATCATCGATCACCATTTACTTATCAAGCTGATTGACTTCGGATCGGTGACGTTCGTACAGGAAGGACTACTTTTTTTACCTTCTACGGCACGACCGAGTACTGCAGTCCGGAAGTGTTGCTAGGCAACGGCTACTCCTGCCCTGAACTCGAAATGTTGACTCTCTGTGTGACATTGTACGTGTTGTTGTTCCAAAGATGAATACTAAGATAAAACTGTCGGAAGAAAAACTTTCTATTTTAGTGTCCTCTTTCACGGTCCCTTTCATCCATTGAATACCCCTCGTATTCAAGGTAATTTTGTGGTTTTGCTGCCCCCTCGGTAGAGATGAAATTTTGCGCTCATTTTTATCAAAACAAACCCACCAAAATCAGAGATGTCCCATTTTTTAATTACTCGATTAACAACTAATCGATTTTTTTTTTGTTCGTTGTGCTGCCATTTTTCCACCAATGAGAGTGCAGCACATGTTTGAAACGGTAGGTCATGATCCTCTGGAGAAGTTAATGCTTATATCGGCATGATATAACCGATTGCAAATATTTTACTTTTCGGTTCGTTAATCGATTAATCGATAATTCGAATGAAAATCGGCTATCACTAGATGAATGTGAAACGTCATTTCAAATATATGGACCGTACAAAAATAATGATACAATTTGAAAGGGACCGGGATTCATCACAAATAACGTCCACACGAAATAAACACGAGTGTTCACCGGTTGGTTGTTCTTCAAGAACCCATTCGTGGACGTTGAGAAAATCCGTTGTCAAGAATTCCAAAACTCGGATCCAGGAGCTACTATAGTCGGTATATTCAAAGTCTGGCGGATAGAATCTCGGGAACCAATTGAGCTGTCAAATAGCGGAACCAATCGAGCAAATCACGACCAACAACAGAAAAGAGCACATATGAGCTATTGCGAATAAAACTACTGAAACCATTTTCTCGTGACTCAAGGTTCGCCTACGCAAACTAACACCATCTTTGGGTTGAGGAAAGTTTCCTCTATCCGATGATTCCGATAATTTGCATTCGATTGGTGAGGAAAGAATAATCAACGTTTTGTTTATAAAAGTTGATAGTACCTTTTCAATTGTTGATCTAAAATATATTTAATTGGTTCCGCTTTTTGATAGATCGAAATTCTATCCGCCAGAATAAGAATATAGCGACTATAGGAGCTACTGGAGGCGGAATATATGACGCAGGAAATCAATTCGTCACA